ATTCTGGGAGCAAATTCACACATCATGCATGTCATAATGAAATATATGTTAACTAGGTTCCTATATTCAAATTTATGCATAACCTTTTATTTATAAACTAGTGAAGGCTTTGGTATACACCAAATCAAACTAGTCACACTCTAGATGAGCTTATCAAATATCAAATCATATGTGTGCAAAGTAGAGTCTTCAATTTTCCATGTTCTTTGATGATTACTATAACTATGTTATCTAAAGTATAAGTACAAATCATGCACATGTTGCCAATTTATTAATGAACTCAAGTTGCAAGACACATTTGGCATACCCTACAAGTTTGTATAAGCTTACCAAATAATACACTAGAAACGGAAATTCAATTCGGCTCCCGGGCTCAAAAATAAATTTCAAAATGTCAAAAAAATAAAGACAAAATTTTTATATGTTGTTAATCACATCCAAATGCTGCCTGCAAATTTTGAGGCAAAAAAGTTAAGCATTTTGGCCTGTGCCAAAAAAAATAGAATGAACACCAAATGTTACCGCCAAATGTCACCTCAAATTTGTTTTATTCACCGACGAAACACTGCTGCTCCATTTCGCATGAAAATTGTCAAGCATGCTTATGACACTAACACTAACATCCAAAAAAATCATAATTTTTTGAGAACATTTACTATTTTTTTGCGTTACTGTTCACTCGAGAACATGTGCTCCCGGGAGCCAAAACGCCCATCCCCGCTAGAAACCACTGTTAATATCATAATATGTATGTTGGATTGTATGCTTTACAAATCTCTGTCATGATATTTAATGATATTAATATATACGAACACACACATGAAAATGTATATTTATACACGCTATAGCTAACACTCCCTTTGTAACTTAATTAATATAAGATGTTTCTTGACACAACGACAGTGGCAAAAAACGTCTTATATTAAGTTATGAAGGGAGTAATTTAAAAAAATCAAAGAGATTTTTTTATATTATGCAATTTAAATTTAGAAGAAGCGATTTTTTTTGTGATATACATTTAAACTACATATCAACCGGAGAACACTATAAGTATTATTTAGTGAAAATTTTATGTTGTTGACTATGCTAGCTAAGTAATATCAAAGTGTACTAATTAAAGCTACATTATTATACAACTAGTTTAAATAAGTACAAAAGTTTATTATAATGATATGTATTTCACTACGCCTGGTGTCCTACCGGCCACCCCGATCAGCACATTCAAAAGCGCCTCTGAAAACTTCTTGTACGAGAGTTGATGCGCCAGCCCGAGCCATTGCATGCCTTTTGCAAATAGATGACAATCCTCTATATTATTAGAACGCATACATGCATGCAACAGCAGGATGCATTGATCGACAAGACCGGTTGCATGTACACTTACTACACGCAGTGTCTTGTCGTCGCCGTCGTAGTCCGCCGGAGCAAAGACCCCATCTCTGGCTGACACATCGCCACCGTTGAGCAGCACCACCACCACCAGCCCCACCAACAGCAAGGCACTCTTCAGTGCCATCTCTCATAGTGGCTGCCTACTCCCACTGAGAATTAATGTTCTGCTACTGAACACAAAATATTACTTGCAGTTTGTGTTGCAGGGAGCGGTTGTTATATAAGGGAAATGCAACACTTCTATTTGGCCATACCGGTCAAACAAACCTCCAATATTATCTTGTCGTGAAGGCATGGATACGGATGCCATGCCCCTACATGCACTCTTTTTTACCATATGTACACAATGCATACAAATTCTGCTGATGCTATGATATATATGATGCAGTCTTTTGACCACTACATCCCATATTCCGCCTAGGAAAGTAGTGGCTATGCTCATGTTGGATGCACCCACGCTACACCCCCCTTGCCTCCACTGTATTGGCATCTGTTCCCTGAGAATTGCGCCAAGCATAGGAGACTCAAATCACGAGTCAGAGAGGGTGGTAGACATAAAGGAAACCCTAAGCTATGGAAGGGGAAGCAAAAGGAGCACACATCTTTCAAGACGTTGTTCGCGCTCAACATCTTTCCACATAACAGTACTGGAGAAGGTTTGGCTTTCATACTCACAAATAGCCCGTCATTGCCAAGGAACAGTAATAGCCAGTGGCTCGGCGTATGCAACAACCAGGCAGATGGCACGCCGATGAACCGAATAGTAGCCACGGAATTCAACACGAGGAAGAGCTATGAGGATGAACTTGATGGCAACCATGTCGGGCTCGATTTGAAGAGCATCAAATTTGTTATCAGTGCCCACTCAACAATCCTTTTATCATCCTATCAAGTGCTCATGATGTCTTGGTCAGTACATCTACAACTGAACATCACATGTTTTTGTATTGTATATAATCGAACCTAACACAAGTGGCAGTAGGGGACATAATTGGCGAGAGAGTTGACCCGTTGATCTATCACAATACCTATTGGACAAAATATATCTAGGGTTCAAAGGTCCCACATGTGATTTGGAAAAGATAAAAATCTTGAAACTTCACCACGATAGACGACATACTCATGGCTGAAAGAACAAGACATGGGAAGCGGGTGTTTTTGCTCTCATTGCCTTGGTTTTGCTTTTTGCGTGTTCATCATTGCTTGTTGCCAAGAGCATGCAGTATTTTCTCCGGTTTTTTCTTTATTGATAATACATAGTGCCGGTCGCCGAAACACCAAACATGGGCAGTTTTTTTATTTTGATCGTGCCAACCCACGACCACTGACCCACAACCAACTAGCTACCACTGGTGCAACGACATCCTACACAAACGGTTTTTACCCCATTTCGGCGACACGGTTTTAAACCGTCACCTTGCCTATGTGGGCTATATGGGGTCCATCACACACGACCCAGATAAATCGTCTACAATAGTGATCGATGATGCAAATGCTCTGCCAAATGCAATCGTATGCGTTGCAGGAACATGTCGCCCACACACTATATTTTGACAAACGTGTGGGATTGAGGGTCCATCGCACATGTCTCTAACGAGTCAAACACGTCTAATTGCTCGGGGAACCCAAACAGTGTGTGACTTTTGACCATTTTGCGAAATATTACCTAAGCCTGGACAAGCTCTTGTTTGCCAATGCCACGACGACCACGTCCTCCTGAAACGGAATAATCTGTGATGTGGCATCTGCGCGCGACTACCTTCACCACTACAGCAACAAGAGGATCCTCCACAGGGACGTCAAGGCCAGCAATGTGATGCTCGACGAGGAATACAACGTGCGGCTGGGCGACTCTGGCCTCGCCCATGCCATCTAGCTCGACGGAGCGACACACCACTCGACGCAGGCAGTTTCAGCACTCGGGGCTACGTGGCGCACGAGAGCTTCTTCACCAGTCGTGCCAGCCCTGGCATGCACATGTGTGCCTTCGGCATCTTTGCCATGGAGTGGGTGTGGGTGTGGGTGAGACAACTAAGGGTGTGTTTTCGATGAGAAACCAAATAGAACGGAATGAAATTTCATGGTGGAACGGGTAGGTTTCATTCCTGTGTTTGGTTGAATCTATAAAATGGAATGATTTCCGTTCTTGTGTTCAGTTAGAAAAATGGAATGAAACAAATTTGATTCAGCTCACCTCTTTGATAGAGATGGTGAGATTGCGTCCCATATGTACATAGGTAGATCTTATACAATCAAAATAATTATAGCCTTCACAATTTCAGCAACATACTACTCCCTCCGTTTCAAAACAAGTGACTAACTTTATACTAACTTTGTACTAAAATTACCATGTGACATATGTGGTAATCAATCGAAACAATTCAGAAAAGAACTTTATACTAAAGTTAGTACGAAGTTAAGTCACTTATTTTAAAACGGAAGGAGTATTTGATTTGAACTTTCGGTAATATACTCGACTTTTCAATAGCAATTTATTTGTATTTCTAGCGCAATCAATAAGTAATATACACTTGCAAGCATAACGAATATATACATCAATTCACTGCTCAATTTGAGAGTATAAAGACATACTGGATCACGGTGCTAAAGGTAGACATTTTTTAATATTAGATAGAGACAAACAAAGATCCAACTCGGTGTTCGGGCTCCAGTGAACAGTAATGCGATTTAAAATAGAAAAAAATCAAAAAAAACTGAATCTTTTTTGCAAGCAAGATGTGCATGTGTGTGATGTTCATGCAAAATTTGGTGATGTTTGGATATTCAAGTAGCGCACAGCAAAAAAATAAATCCAGGCATGAACAGTGATGTTTTTCAAATGTTTCCCTCAGACCTGAATTTGTTTTTTTTGTCACAAGCTCCTCGAAAGTTCAAATTCTCCAAATTTGGCACGGACATCAGGCACTCATACATCTTTCACCACAGAAAAATGAATTTTTTAATTTGTTTTCCATCTTATATTGCGTTACTGTTCACTCCCTGGATCGTCTTTGCCCGGCAGCCAAAACGCTGCTGAGAAAGAGATAGATAGACAGATAGATAGGTAATGTAGGTAGATACAAGCAGATGTATACATCAAAAGCTACTCCCTCCGTCCCATATAGGACGTTTTTGCAGTTTAAATTGAACTGCAAAAACGTCTTACAATATGGGACAGAGTAGTAAATCTAAACAATAACAGTTTCCATGTAACACATGTTCTTGCAAGTATATTTGCTACACAGTTTTGCCATTGTTTAACGCTTTGTAATGTCAACTATTGCACTCTTCCTCTCATTCTAGTATATGCCTGTATACATATTTCAACAAAACTGAGCTGCCTTCCTGCTGGCTTCAACTTGCTTTCTCTATATGCATGTATGAGTAAGACTGGGGAATACAGACCAGACCAGTCCAGAAAAAATGACGATCAGGTCTGTATCCCTTTTCCTATGATGTTAGTCCTGTGACGTCCCTTGGAATCAGAAACAAAAATCCGATAGGTAAGAGAGTGCCCATCAGCTGAACAGTTAGGCTGAGCGTCAGATTGTCAAACTGTACCGACGACATGTTCAAAGCTGACGTCAATGCAGCTCCAAGGAATGAACCTAATGTCGAACTGAGGTTGTTAATGGACATGAACAGAGCAAACAGTGTGCCCTCGATTCCAGGCGGGCAAAGCTGTCCTGAGAGGATTAGGAACGGCATCATCCTGCCAAATGAAAACAATAAAGTTAGAAACACTATTGCGTAAATGTGTAGGTAAGATGTCTGATCTTCAGCCATGAGTACAATAATGGATTCATACTGGATAAGTTGAACAATTTCCTCATTTTTCCAGTTGTTTTGGTTAAGGGAACAATATGAACTTACTAACTAATGTCAATTATTATACTGGATAAAGTGAAGAACTTTCCTCAGTTGCAAAATAGAACATACAGTCATCTAAAGAAATTAATGACATACAGGTCACACTTAACCATGAGCTCAAGAAACATTCATGAGGGCCACTTGATTGACGCTCACCCAAATAAAGTGAATAAACAAAATAAGAGTATGACTGTATCTGTCTAGTTTTAGTTGAAACAAAGAATTTTAAGTTGGTGCCTAATGAGTTGCCACAACACTAAAATATTTTAAATGCAAGATTAGTCAATGCAGGATCAGTAACTCTGGGCAGCAACTTAAGGTTTCTAACAGAAACGCATCTCAAACTGGTTTTCTAAACTACAGGTCAAGCAGATAACTCAGTTTATGGTTTGCAATCTACTACCTCCGTCCCAAAAAGCTTTTCGGGATGGAGGTAATAGTTCACATGAGTATGAAAGAAATGACAGCTAGAGGATATACTTGAATTGGTTGATTGCATCAGCCAAAGCAGAGCCCCACAGCACCATGTATTTGTCTGCTATTCCATACTGGATATGTAATCTTGACACCAGTAAAATGTCCAGTACAGTAATTATCGCAAGGCCAAGATGTGCAAACCTGTAAAATAAGGACAGCAATTATTAAAGGTGGCACACTTAAGTACCTAACAACTTCAAACAAGTGAATAGATTTACATTGTAGCCAATTACCCCCATCAGTTTTTTAACAACATTAATAAAAGAGCATGCACTTGCACTCACAAAAACACTGAACAAAAGGAGATCAATAAATGGTCTATACCAAAAATACCAAGATGAAAATTCAGTGCAATTCATTCGAATTATGGACAGCCAACTTACGAAAAGTTTATAGAAAATTTCAGTCAGTACATTAAGCATATATGCATAACATTTCAACTTCCTTTAAACAAACTATGGCACTAATATAGATAGTGTGTTGACATTTGGAAAGAATAAACAGCTTGAAAAAATGACTCACATAAGAATATTCCTGAGTTTTTTATGCTTTAAGTAGCGGTTGTAGATATATGTGCCAAGCATTAGACTGAACCACCCAATCACACGTGCAGTCCCTAAGAAGGATGCCTCCAGATGTAGAACCTCCGTTTGATAATAGAACATTACTGTTGAGATATTTGGAACTGCTGCATTTGAAAGGAAAAACCATGCCATAGGTCTAGAGAAAAAGAGAGGAAGTTACTGATTAAGCTCTTCAGTGCAAGAGGCAAACATCAGAGAAAATGAGATTGCAGGGTTAATTACCGCAGAATTGCTGGCTGCTTAAAAGCTGTGCATAAACTGAAGAAGGCTGATTTCAGAGATGAGTATAAATTAACTGATTTATTGTGCTTCTCATGACCTTCAGGTCGTTTGGACAATGTTCTCCTTTTGTTCTTTTTACGAGCACCCTTTCGCCTCCTAGTGCTCACATATTTAAAAGATTCACCTGAGCCTTGTCCAGCAAAAGCACTATCAATATTCTGATCATCAGCATGATCATGTGCAGCATTATCTATCGTGCTCTCAAATCCTTTTGGAGATTCCTTAACGAAAACACATGTAACTAGTTGGAACAGTGGAAGAGCAGAGAAAATAATATAAATAGCATTTATTGGGAGATTGGACAATGCGTATCCTCCCAATAAGCTCCCAAATATCCCCCCTACAGCCATTGATGACCAAGATAATGACTGGAGATCACCAGCAAATTCTGGCCTGAAAAGAGAATGATTCAGGTTTTAAGGCATTGTATTGGAGTAGTTGTTATACAAGGTGAGACAAGATGCACCATATTACTCACCCTGCTGATCGAACTGCCTCTGCAATCATTGCATCTATAACAACATCTGCCATGGCAGATCCCAAGTTCTGTACAATCAACATTAGCGTAAAAAGATTGCTTGAGCTCCTCAAATGTTCTGACAGCCCAATGATAAGCCATGGAAATAGAGAAAGACCACTAGAAATGATCAAATAGGGTACACGCTTCCTCTGCTTAATTGGAATACAGTCCGACACAATCCTGCAAGTACAATTGATATATGGGTGAGTAAGTAAAACCAGGATGTTTTTTATTGGGCGTTCAGCAACATGTCCAGTAATGCATGTACCAAGGCATATATGGAAGTTTAACAGCTGTTAGCAACACGTTGTGAACCTTTATCCACAACAGGATAACTAACGTACTGAACATAGCCAGATGGCAATGCTGCAAGATATTGGTAGACATAGGTTGGATGAGAGATTATTTCAGAGAGAAAAGATTGGTTGTTTCTTCCTGAAACATAGATACATGGCATCTCTATACAGTGGATACTTAGATCTTTGACTTTTCCTAGCACGATACAAACTCCTCATGGTTGGACTCCTTTAATCCTAGACTTGCAGTCCTTCCTCCTGTTTCCTTGGTGCTGCAAATCCTTGTCTGACACATGACCGTCTTCTGCTACAGGCCTACGATGCACCTATGTCCTTGGCCTCCTTGCCAGCCAGCTGGCTGCAACCGAACTGCCACTGGCTTGATGCAACATACTAATGCATACAACAACAACACTGCCAAAAAGCAGCGCAACTCTGTGGACAGGAGAGTACTAGGACAACCATAGATCATGAACACTAGCTAGAATACCGATTATGAGTTTGATATTACACGGGCCTACGTACTAGTACCGCTGAATGCCTTAATTTGCAGCAACAAAGCTATTGAACCAACAGATGTGGGAAATACTTTCTGTGATGTGTTCCTTTTTGCATTTCCATGTTACTGTCATGTGCCCATGTCTACAAATGAACTGTTTTTGTTAATCAATTTTCTATTAAGATAACTTGAATACAAACTATGTTCAGATTGTTAGTGATAGGTTCTATTCACGGTAATCTGTAATTAATCAGAAATTGAAAAAAAATGTTTAGCTCTGGTGGAATAATTATGTATCTATAGTAGCTCCATAAAAGTCCAGTAATAAACTTGAGTTGTGGTGGACACCAATATCAAACAATACCTAAGCTTATGCCTGAAAAAAGCGTAATTCTGAAAACTGAGATGTAAGACTCATGACATTTGGAAACAAAAAGGTTAGTTAAAATATCTATATCCCAAGATATAGGCAAAGGAGAAGAATGATTATTTTGCATCAACCAAGGTTAGATTGTTGGTAAGTTTCGCTTCATATAAAGCAACGAACAAAAGGTAACATTACCCATATATAGGTTTTATGCTCCAAGGGAAAAATGCAGCAGAGACCAAAAACTGTGATGTTGAGGGTGACAGCTTCATGATGTCCTTCATTTGATATGAGACAGCTGTCCAGACAAAAGATCTGAAACCCTAAAACATTGAAGAATACATATTAGAACGTTTAAAATGTTAACATCTTCTTATTTGTGAAGCATTCAAGAAAAACAAACAGATTTGAGGTAGGGCCTCTTTAGTTATGCCGAATTCAGACATGGAATTTGCAACTGAGACATGTCATCAAAGCATGCAAATGGAACAAGTGCTAAGGATATGAATGAACAACCTTGGCCCCCTACATGACACCTTAAGGTATTTGACATGCCACCAATGCTCAGCATCCTGTGCAATTACCACATCAAGTTGTTTTAAGGCATCACATTTCCATGGGGCAGAGAATGATTTATCGCCCCTAACCGAATTTATTGAGCACACCTGAGTCTCTCTATACAGAGAGTGACTGATTTGGCAGCATATAAACACTAGACGTCGATCTCAAGCTACTCTGGCAGCACGCCCTTCACATTTGCAACAAGATAAAATCAGCGTGCTGTCTAGATTCTAGAAGAAGAAGAAAAAGCATCCTTCATCATCTTGTGTGTACGCACACACAAACCCGGAAAAAATAAAATACGAAATGGTCCTAGCACACGCATACGGGCGAGCAGATCTCTCTAAAACGACGGTGCGTGTGCGGAGAAATGGGTGCGGTCACGAGGAGCGTCAGGGTGCCAGGAGAGAGGAAGAGACCTGGATGAAGTAGATCAGGCAGACGAGCCAGAGGAACGGCGCCCCGAACGCCGCTGCCATCCGCCCCGCCCACCACGGCGAGGCCGGCGCCGCCTCCGCCATGGTCACCACTCACAGGCGAAACTGATTTGTTCCTCCTGATCCGGCAAGAGAAACCTCCGCGAGATCTCGGACGTCTGGATGGATCGGAAGTGGGGGAGAGAGACGAATCGGAGTGAGGGCGGTGCGAGAGATGCGGGAATGCGCTCCCCGTATTACACATGCACGGAGACGTCGGAGGATGGATGTCCTCCGGCTTGACGGGGTTTGTGAGGGCTGACTGAGACGCCACCCGGGGCCCTGGCCGTGTCACAGCTCATCGACATGTGCCGTTTGATTGGCGCGACAGTTTCGGACAACCACTCAGACTCTGCCACGTCGGGAGCTCCAGCAAAGCTTTGCTCTAGCTTCGTTGACTAGGACGGTCCGTGTAATGTAAGCTAAGATGAAATGTTTTCCTCCTTTCCTCCGTCCATTTTCTACTCCCTCCATACCAACTAGTAAGTGTGCACGTGCAACGCACGTCTATTTAAACTAATAAGTGTGCACGTGCAACACGTGCCTATTTGGATTAACACAGTATACTAAACTTAATACAAGACAATTTATTCATAAATTTAAAATTTTCCTATAAAATACACAATCTCTTATTCTCAACTCGTACAAATAATTTGAAATATCGTTTCACCTTAATCAACATGTCTTCAGTATTAAAAGACCACCCAGTGTTCCCAATGCATAAAACTCAAAATTATTTAGAAGATTCATCATGATTCTCCATATGCACACATTTATGCAAGTATAATCACACATGAAAATGTCACTTAGGACAAGCTAAGGAGCCGTTTCAGTGCCAACAAACTCCAGTCAAGAATTATTATTACGATGGTGTGTCAACCACAATAGTGGGAAGAGACCTCTATGGTTTGTTGAAAAGAGGAAGCCATTGTCACATAGAGAAGTGTAGAGATGTCTTGACTGCATAGAATCAACTGTGAAACAAGGCAAAAAAATGCTAGTTGGACCATCCGATTCTACTATTGCACACAAGTGTCGTAATGTCTGAAAGAAAGAAAAGTGACTTACTTTATTATGAAAATAGAACATGTAAACCAAGTAAAATTACAGTGATAAATTGCATAATTATACTTGCTTTTCACTGGACAAAAGCATTAATATGACAACTTGGAACAGTTACTTGAGTACTACACATTTCTTTAAGGGCTCAACATTCTAATTTTTTTACAATATAACAAATATATACGAAGATAAATAATTTGGAAACGGTTTTCAACATGCGTAGACTACCACTTGTAAGATTAACAGTGGCAAAAAAAGGCCAACAAATGCCGGTTTAGAAAGAAAAAAACTGCAGACATGCTTCCAATTTTAGCAACTCTAGTGGATAAAACATACCTTACCTCTCAAGTCAGGAAATAGTCAAATGAAAAAATGTACTTCTTATAAGTAGTAGAGATGAAGTCATAAGGATCATGATTCAAGATATTCGGAGAAACATGGTTGGTCTCTCTGTATGATGCGAACTCGTCACCTCTACCAAAGTGGTCGTGTGTAGTATGTAATGTAGAGTGCAATAATGAAATAAAATAAATGATATGAGAATTTACCGTGACCACAAAATGTCCTACATTCGCCATCATCATAATCAACATGCATTTTTTGCTTCTCTTGTATGTGGTCCAAGTTTTCTATCAGGAAAACATGTTAACTCAACTGTAGATAAGGACGGTATGAAAATGCTTATGTAAAAATACAATTGCCATGTATCTGCTGGACAAACACATACACTTATGCAAACTTCAGGTTTTTTTAGTAAAACTTATGCGAACTTTAGTTTTTTTCACTAAAATTTATGCAAACTTCTAGGTTTTTTTCCAGTAAAACGTAATTTCGTGACTGCAAGTAAGGTCTTGATTGAGCGAATTTGTCTGTGAGTTCACTGTGTAGTCGTGAGTTGGCCATGTAATAACCGGTAGTCAGTACTTAAAAAAACAGGGATGTCTGTTGCAGGTACGTGAAAATCAGTGAAAAAATAAAGAAAGAAAGAAGGCATTGGTTGCCTGAAACCCAACTGTGTGTTCTCCAGCGCGCCTCTGTTTCTCATTGCCTCATCTCTAGTTCCTGTACTTCTAGATGTGTCACCACCGGCGAGGTAGGGATGACAGTAAAAAAACAAGACTCAGTACTTGCCTGATTACTGCGTGCGTGCGGCGCGTTCGCGTGAAGGCGAGCGTCTCCGTCGTTCAGGCCTGCGAGCAGCCGCAACGACCGTGTCCTCTCACCAGCTAGGCGGCGTTGTCGACGCAGGTGAACCAGTCGTCCAGCTTTGAGGCAGCGGCCTCCACACACCGGGGTGTGGGGAGTTCCAGCGGCCGACAAAGGTGGGATGTCTTTGGACGACGTCGTTCACACATGAGTACTGGACAAGCATGTCCAACGGAGCATCACACGTCAGAGCTCAGGGAGTCGGCGGTGGCTTCGGGTGAGTGACATGGGGCCGTGATTAGCTTCACCTGCTGCGCAGTGGCCGAGACCTACGTCGCCCTGGGGACGACGATGGTTGGCGACCAGGCGAATCTACATGCATGGCTGTGGGGGCGAATGCCCCCACTCGATTTTTTGGCCCGCTTATAGTGGTTCAGGATACTCAGCGTTGCCCCCACTTGAAGGGTGTCGGCGGTGGGTGGTTGTCAGCGTGGGTGTTATGGACAGAGCTGAAGTCAACGCGGATGTCGGTGGTTCCCGGAGAGCATGCCAGGACGTGGACGAAGTCGTTGCAGTCAGTAGAAAAGTGAGCTGGCCTCTAGGCAGAAGACGAAAGCGGCGACGACACGTGTGTGTGTTCGGAGGAAGCCGCAGCTCCTTCTTGCGTGTCTCCCACTATGGCTCGCGTGGGTGGTGGGCTGGTGACGGTAGGCGACTCACGATCGCGATCCCTTGATAGGATACGATACGATGCGCTCGTGATTAGTTTCCTAATAATTAGATGCGTTCGTGATAAGTTATCTAGTAGGATGCATCCGTCATTAGTTTACTAATAATTAGTTGCGTCCGTGATTAATTTCCTAATAGGATGCATGCGTGATTATTTTCCTAATCATAGGATGCGCCCGTGATTAGTTTCCGAATAACCGGATGCGTTCGTGATTAGTTTTCTAATAATTAGATGGGCAGTGATTATTTTCTTAATAGGATGTGTCAGTGATTACAGTTTCCTAATTGACCAGGCGTGGACTTTCATATTTTCCTCCACGGTGGAGTACGGCCAGTCAATGTAAATTACTAAGTGCACACAGAGAACAGATTACGTTAACCCTAGCCGTTAGATTGAGTTTAGTGGGACTAATCATGCGGTGGTAATGTATCCGTGTACGTTTTGTGGGGTGTACTTAGAGAAGATAATGTTTGCTCTTTTATAAGTAGTATAGAAATATAAGACATTTTTTAAAACTTACAAACGTTTTATATTGGGAAATCCTCTAAATCAACCGGCTGATTTTCTCTCTCGTAAACCACCGTCTCTGCACGCCACGTGCCCCCGTGATGGTCCACCAACCGCTCTCCTCCGAGCTTATCTCGTCCACTCGTTTCTTTCTTCCCTTTCCCCCTTTCTCTTTCTTCATTTCGCGAGCCAGCTAGACGAGAGGATCGGGAGAGGAACCGAGAAGGGACCGCGTCGGAGTTGAGGAATAAGGAGGGACCGCCACCGACCGCTGCTTGGTGTCCTCCGCGTGGTGCTGCCCCAACAACCGTTGCTTCGAGGTGACCCCCAATCTGGCTGCTTCCATGGATGGCGACGGTGGTGCAGGAGTTGGTCGCCGCGCGCGAGCTGCTGCTAGGCGGTCGGTCGCCGGCGTACTCCTATCTGACGCAAAGACCTTAGGTGCTGCGATTTGACCGGCGCCCGCCCGTGTTATAACCGGGGCTCGGTGATGCAGCTAATCCAGGAAACTGCTGCAAGTCGTGCTGCGACGAGCCGACGACGACGGTTCGATGAGGGTCTCGAGCGAGGTGCTGCCATGGAGCTGTGATGGAGCGCTGCTAGGGTGTCACTGCTGCGATGGAGCTTTCTTGCCCCATGCGTTGCTGCCATGGAGCTTCAATGGAGCATCGTCGGGACCGTCGGTGCTGCCATGGAGCTTCGATGGAGCATCGTCGAGACCGTCAGTGCTGCCATGGAGCTTCAATGGAGCATCGCCGGGACCGTCGGTGCTGCCATGCAGCTGCAATGGAGCATCGACGGAGCTGCAATGCAACGTGGGTGGTGCTGCCCTGTGACCCGCGGTTCTTGCCGGCGTCAGAGCTGCAATGCGATGTGGTGCCCCGACCTGCTTCATCTCATCGGCGGCAGAAGCTTCAATGCAACGGTCTGTTTTATAGCTGCGGGGGAGATGACCTGTTGTTCTTGGCTTCTTGCTGGCCGTCATTTGCTACAAGGCGACGATGATAGCTGGCATGTGCGGCAGGCGGCAACACGAGACGGTAGGGGCGACGAAGCAATGGATTGGTTTGAGCTGCAGAGAGGACTGGTCAAACGCTGCTAGGTGCGCACATGGTTCGGTTAGCCAAATGAGACGGCTGCGCAGCGCCTAATCCAACGGCGGGCGAGGCGGTTTACAATTAGCTCCAGTCATCCGGATGATTTCTAGCATCGGCCTTTTATATTTGAATACAGAGATAGTATAAAATTAGACATTTGTACTTGTGAAATCGTTTGCCCGGTCACTAGCTTTTAAATGTTTTCCCCAGTCACTTGAGCTAAAATTTCGGTACACATGTAGTACAAATGAACAAATAACCTGGATGCAACAAATGGTACGTCATAATTCACCTACATGAATCTACGATAAAGGGAGACAAGTGAGCATGAACAAATGTGAGGAAAACATACCTTCGGCTAAATTGTTGAACACCTTGGGGTCGTCGGGATCTAGCGGGCGAGATGTGGCACTACTGGAAAGCTAGACTACGCGAGAGGAGTTGATGGCAGCGGACGGTCAGCGTGTGATGCCGGCCTCCTTGGCAAGCAATGGAAGGGAGGA